ACCCGTGGGAGATCTGTATTTAAGATAGCCCGTCGGGCAGAGTGGTGATACATTTTGGTAACCCGACTGGAAAACACAATAGCCCCGGGACATCGGGCTAGCGAGCGATTTTGCGAGCCCTGTAGAGTAAAACATTTATTTCATTATGAGATTTCCCTCCCATTTTAAACTCTTATTATCCAGTGTAAGGTTAGATTTTTGTAAATTTTTCAAATAAAAGATCAAAAGGATTAATGATATAGATTTTTTTTCACAGCCTTCTTTGATCATATTTACCAAGGGTATGAATAATTGAGCACAACTGTATATAAAAGAGTATGTACTTTTTTAATGGAGATTTTACAGTCATCTGTCTGAGGGGCAAACTGGAATTAAACAGTCCTAGTCATGCGACTATTTACTCTAGCCATGTAAATATGTTCACATGAAATCAAGACAGTCTGCACTTTATAGCTGACAGCTCTGTAGAAAATACATCTCTTTTTGGAAGTAAATGTTGAAAGTAAATGTTGCTAATGTGACCTGTGTAATTAAATAAACCAATAAATTGGCAACAATACACAGCTAAATTTTCTTAATCATATGTGGATCAAAATATTGAAAATATTGTTATTTCTAAGTCATTCCTGAAATTAAACAATTACATTTCTCGATTTTCTAATTCCATTTGCAACTAGCTTTGAAAAAATATTATTATTATTATTATTATTATTATTATTATTATTTCTAGTTTGGCATATTGTCATCACATCAGGCTGCAGAAACGTTTAAACACCAGAGTTCACTTTCTGAGCACTCAGCTACATTGAACTGTTAAACGTGGCCCTTACCATAATCGCGAGCTTCATCTTTCAAAATAAATGTAAAGACAGAGCCCGGGGAGGGAACAGAGTCGCGTGACAGACACAGTGATTAAGCTGGTATGTGTTTGCAGTACACAAGCCACCGTTAAGACAGCTGACTCCACTCCACTGTGACTCCACTCTCTCTCTCTCTCTCTCTCTCTCTCTCTCTCTCTCTCTCGCGCGCGCGCGCGCGCACACACACACACACACACAAGATGCGCAAAACTCCGCATTTGAACAGTCAATATATATATATAATTTTGTAAAATAATAAAAAAGATTAATTAATAACACACAATTATCCTTATTACCAGGATCAAGAGTTGACGACGGCCCTGAAGAAGATTCCTGGGGTTCCTCTGCTCTACATTATCCTCAACACCATGGTGTTAGACAAGCCCTCTGAACGTTCACTGAAGCATGTTGAAGCGGTTCAGCTGGGTGAGTTAGTGAGCCCGTCACAACAGTTAAGCATCCAGAGTCTGAAAGAAGAAGGAGGGCCTCAGCAAAGACAGTAATGACAAGAGAGGCAAAAAACGTAAGAGGAAATCCAGAATAAGAGAATAAACCCATGCCTCAGCAGCCCAAAAAGACAGACGGAGAGAAAAAGAAGCGGAATAGACATAGGAAGCGAAGACCTGCTGGGGGAGAGGAAGCGGCAGTGGCAGTCAGCTCCAATCCCACAACTGCCTAGTGACAAGCCTTCCATTTATTGTTTGTTTCTAAGCATTTTTATTGTAAATTTTGTCCTTTTCCCAGACCATGCATTTATGCTACCATGCACTTGTGCTGTCTAATAAACAAGTGTTTCTTTTATTATCAATACCTGTTTTTTTGTTTTTGTGACTGTTTAAGGTTTAATTATTTGAGATTAGATTAGATGTGCACTTTGTGTTTTTATAATGAGGAATATATGACCAGACATGAAATTCACAAATATAATATGAAATATATAGAGAAAGAGAGAGCACATATATATATATATATATATATATATA